ACATACAACCGTTTTTGTTGTCATATCGAAGCGCTGTTCACGAAAGTACAGCAGTGACACCAGCTTTCGCAAACTTTGGAAGAGAATTACGGCTGCCTGCAGACCTGATCACCGGGATACCACCTGATACCCCACGCAGTATAACCGATTATGCAAATGACTTGCGGAACAAAATGAATGACATTTATGAGCACGTCAGACAATTGGGCTAGCAAATGTCTGAGAAGATGAAAACCTGGTACGACCGCAAAATGAACAATAAAGGCTTCGACGAAGGTTCACTAGTGTGGTTGCACAATCCAGTCCGCAGCAAAGGGAAATCTCCTAAGCTTCAAGCTAAATGGGACGGCCCGTACCGGATTGTAACCAGGATCAACGATGTAACCTACCGGATACAGAAAGGCGCAAGAGGGACTCCTAAGATCGTCCATGTGGATCGCTTGGCGCGTTATTATGGGGCCGATAATGCTCGGGACGAGCATGTCTCAGGAGGGGGCAGTGTTGCGCGAATAAGTCGACGTCATGTATCCGGCACTAGCGCCATCTAGCGTCAGGGACGAGAGCGAGGGGAGCTTTCCAGAAAATGACATCACTAATCTTTCAACCGACAGCGCCATCTAGTCTCGGAACGAAGAACTAAGCTTCTAGAAGCTGACGCTCGAACTCTCGGCCCCTTGCGCGTGTTTACTTGAATATTCTGGATGTTTCGGTGCTAATTTGTATTTATAGGCGCTGCAAGATGCGATCGGGGAAGTATTGAATTCGGCGAGACAAGCGAAGCTTCTGAGCGGAATAAAGTGAATTAGTGTGCTTAATTATTAGTGTTTTAAGTCTTAATTTGTGTAAAGAAAATTAAAGTGTTAATTTAGGTAAAGTTTATCGGCAATTTTTATTGTCACGAACCTCAAGCTCGTAACAATAATAATGATAGATTTATTCATTACCACTAATAAAATTACAATGTATATGTGTATTTATTGAAATAGTAGTACACAAATGACATAGTGAAGTTACGATTCTGCTATTATTCTGCCAGCGTCCAAATGTGATCAGAACACGCACTACCCTGTTCACTTTGGAATACACACCGTGGGTCTAATAGAACCGTTTCAATTGAAGGTTAAAAAACGAGCACATCGTTCACCTGATGATAAGTGGGCGCTGTGATTTCTTTCCTCGATTAAGAATCAAAATACAGATACTATACCTCTGCTGGCTAAAATGTAACCCAACAATATCCTTATTCTTAAGAAAATATTATAATATATATATTAAATTCTGTTGATATATTATATATTTTCAGAAGATACAGTTATTAATGGTATATTTAATTCAAGGCAAAAAGATCATGTTACAGTTATAGATAATGTTATATGACCCGTAATAATACTGGTGATTGTGAAAATTTAAAAAGTCTTTATGGGAATAGACTAAGAACTAAATAATTATAAATATATGATGAATTCAACTCGATACATTATAATAGTGCATTTTACATAAAAGTAAACAAGAGTTTATAAATAATTAATACGCTTTACGAAACTTTTAAAAGCACCCTTCATTTAGAATTTCATATGTAAATTCCAAAACAGATATTCATGGCTATAACAATTACGAAATATTATTTATAGTAGTAGTAATAGTTCTATAAACAATTTATAATTGTGAAAAATTCTTAATTTTCCAAAAAATGTGGTGAAAGAAGTACAGCGCCTGGAAAGGTATTGTTGTTAAGAATTAGTCAATTAGAGCGAGTCCAAGAGACGATTGTTCGTCAAAATTAGGCTCGTTTATTGTTGCCAGTATATTGTCAGTATATATGTATCTTGTGCGAAATCTGAAGAATCTGAAACGAGTAATGTAAAAACAGATCCATCATTATTGTTTTGATTTAATTTCTTTATTTTGTGCTTTGCTGTCTGCTGCCTCCTCTAGGTCCAAGTATTGCAAATACGTTTCCAATTATCGTACAAAATTCACTTTTACGTTTAGTAATAGACTTGTGGTGAGCTGTAATAATGATAATGATTCATGTTTCAAACTAAATAACAATTTAATTCCATGACTTGACGTGTGGTGGTGGTGTAAGACCGGCGACGGGGAACAGCTTCAAAAGTTCGAGACGTCTGGTTCTGCGATCGCATGCCTATCTAGGTAGCGATAAAATCAAATCCTTTCAACGGCGAAACCCATGTCTAGCAGTCTACTTTAACAGGCCAATAAAGGATGAAAAAGATATCGGATTCAAGTTATCCTCATTTGTGTGATAAAACAAAGGGCTGGATAACAAATAAAAACTTATCTTTGATTATACATATACATGTCTAGATTCTGCGTCGCCTTGTGACGATGACTTTATAAACGAGCAATTTTTCGCTCTAGTGGTGTGCGTGAAATCACCGTCTTACACTCGCATCAATTGCCTTATTGCTGAGTGTGTTGAGTGCCCAATTCATAGATTTTCCCCAATAAGTAGGGAAATTTAAACTCATGGTGCCTCCTTGCATACAAATGGAATTTTCGTTGCAAAAATATCCGTAATATACTATTTTTTATACTATATTTTGTTTAGAAGTGTTTTTACCTACGCTCGATTTAAGCATCACCCTAAACATAAGCATTTACATATATGCTACGAACCAGTCAATAACCTTTTAAATACCTATTAATTAAATAGGAAAAAATAATAGATTACATAAATACTCACGCCTGTCACCCTTCTACCTGGACTTCTATTAGCACAACCCTGACACAACTCCCTAGCCTCCTTTACATCCATATATCTACGCTTACAGGCTCGTCTGCTAAGGGTACTCTTAATTTAAATTAATAGGAGCAAGAAATTTAACGGGCTTTATACAAAGTCTAGTTCCTCAGTCCTCAACCGAGCGACTGACTGAGGAACGCGAAATAGTTGATGTTAGAATAAGACTCACTTCTTATATACTTAATTATGGACTAAATTAATAACATTCTATAAAAATTAATTTTAATCTTATTATTCATTTAATTATACGTTTTCATTACTAGAATAGAGGCCGTATGCATATGGTGATGAAATAATATTTTAAATTGTATACCAAATGGTCAATTGCAGCGCGATTAAATCTTTTCCTTGTGGACATCCTATAACCCGTCGCAACAATAAAATTGATTTGATTTGTATGTAGATTGTTCATCGGCCCTCCGAATTATAGCTAAGTAACCAAAAATTTCTTTGACGTAAACTTAAATAGGATTGAACAAACTGTAATCGTAATTTTTTTAGGATATTGTTGTGAGACCCTGGTTCTTGGCAAATTTCATAATTCTTCTGAAATTAATCTTTGAGGAGTGAGTTTGCGAGTATTAAGATAATTGTCAGAAATGTCCATATCTTTTGATTGCCTTGGCTAAGAAGTATGAAAATATTTTATATTAATTTGAACTAGATATCTGTACCCGTTGTTGTGTTCAGTTTTTCGTTTCAAAGTACGGGACCCTAAAATTTGTAAATATCTATGTTCTATTTTCTTGTTCCTTGATTGACACTAATTTTTTTACTAAAACTTACACAAAATTGCTTTATTGGAGGTTTTTTTATCTTTCGATTTTATTAAGAGAGTGTTATATACTGACAAAAGCAAATATGTATATGGAGCTTTTTTTGCAAACAATATATTTAAAAATTGAAATTCTCCAGAAAAACTATACTATAGTTAAATTGAATAATTGCAACATGTTGTTAGTACAATATGTTTATTTTATTAAAAAATATTAAAACAAACTACTAACTTGCTACATTTCTTGAAACAATCACATCGCTGCGCATTATCATAATCAGAACTATGTATTTTCAACTAAGTGATTAAACGACTAAGTTAAAGTAGCCGAGTCAGCTTTTGAAATATAGGTATTATTTTACTTACTTACTTACTTACGTATTATTTTAATGATATTAGAGTGATAAACGGGCTAACAGCCCACTTGATGGTAAGTACAGTGCATGAACTTCTACAACCAATCTCAATCAAAGAAATAAATGTAAAAAAATGTAAAAACCAACCAGTCCGAGAGAATTAGAATGGAATGGATCACAGCCACACATTTAATGTGTAGTGTTCGCGTAAATATAGTCATAATTGTAAACTTGTTCAAATTCAAAAATATTTTCAAAATGAATAATATTGATGTCAAGGGTAGTAATAAAATTACCCTTGACATCAATATTAAGACATCAAGTTCAAGGTTGGTACAACAGTATCGGCTAATTTTCTTTTATTGATAACTTGGGTATGAAATATGATTTATCAAAATCTCCTACCCAGATGATACCGTAGTAATATTTACTAATGATGGAATTCTGTTCGGAGATCTGATTTTTAGAACATAAAGCTGAGGTATAGCACCGACACACTCCGGGAAGTCTGCAGTTTGTAAATATTGTTCAAGATCATCCCCACCATTACATCAGATTTGATAGACCACAAATCCTCGCAAAAGAACGCCGATTCCTACCAAGGATGATACGCCAGGCTATTGAAATTAAAAAACATCCTAATTTCAATAGAAATGATGTATGGGTGCTCATATCTGCTTGGGATCCTATAATTCACAAACTTAAATCCAAACCCAAGCATACTCGTTCTGCGTATATCGGACCAAAAATTTATATTCAAAAACTGAAAGTAGCCGGGCTAGCTATGACATTGGGACGTCAAAAAGTCCCCCCACCCCCCACCCGGGACGATGGTAGCTGTAAAGCACCCGAAACGTCTGGAATCAAATAAGTTAATTAAACGCGATAAAATTCATATAAATAGTTTTATTTAATGTGTAATGTTCGCGTGAATATAAGAAATCATTATAACTCTTTTACCCTTCAAACTTAAATAGAAAAGTGTATGCACTGCTACTTGGCAACGATCCTATGCTATCCCGGGCGGAATTGTAGGCAGAAAACGAGAACATAAATTTTAATAATATATAACCTTAAATAATTATTTTTTTTTGTATTGCAGATGGGGTCACGTATTCATCTACCCAGTAGTCAACTGGTCGAAACCGGAGCAAACATTAGTTGTGGCCGTGTTAACGGGCCTTTTTCTCGCACTGATGCATATTGTCACGGTTGCGCTCGCAACAATACGAGATCTCATTGCAAGACGTTGCATCAGCAGTTCATCAGGAGTATACAACGACGGATTCGAACCTTAA